TCCACAAGTGAGCCTGCCAGCAATAACTCTGATCTCTCTAACAGAGGGGGGCAGGGTTGCCCTATGCCCGAGGTTGCTGTGGAGGCCTATCATGGCTTGGGTTAGGTTGTGTGAGTTATTGAGGAGGGGTGCGCCAGTGGTTGTTTCTGATAGGTTCAATCATTTGCCTTTGCTAAGGGCGGGCTGCCGTGAACTGACTAAGACGTCCCTGACGTATCAAGCCCTCAACTTGGTCTTTGAGGTTAACACACTCCTCTATATTATGGCAGTGGTCCTGATGAAAACGGCAGTATTTGGACTGGTCTTGCCGGTTGGAAGGAGACCGTGACGGTTGGGGCCATTTTAGGGGATTATCTCGTTGGATCTGGTTCAGGACTTGTTCCATGGGAAAATTGGTGTGTATCGTTCGAACCGGTCGGGCGATCGGGTTAGCGCCGACCGGTTGGCTCGGGCTAGTCGATCGGTATACTGAGGTGCTCGGTGAGTGTACTGGGTGTTGCTGGTTTCAGAGTCCTTTCTCTTCTCTCTGGGGGTCGGGTTTTTGGCTGTAGGATCTTGTTGGGCGGCTAGGGAATCCTCGGCGTTCATGTATTTTTGGGCTTTGGAAAGTAGGGTTGCCATGGAGGTTGGGGGGTTTTTGGAGAGGGAAAAAAGGAAATCAGATAATCGTAGACCGGCCGTGAAAGCCGTGAGGATGACCTTGTCGTCGTTTTCCGCTACCTGCAGGGCTTCGGTGTTGAAGCGGGTGACGAAGCTGCGCAGCGACTCCCTCTCGGTCTTACGCATGTTGAGAAGCTGGGTTGCCGGACGCCGCTGGCGCTGGGCACCAATGAAATGGCTGAGAAAGGAATCACTTAGGTACTGGAAAGTGGAGACAGAGTCTATTGACAGTTGACTAAACTAGAGTCGAGCCGACCCCTTGAGTGTTACGGAAAAAGCTCGACACATGATCTCGTCTGGGAATGCATGGAGGACCATGAGGGTCCTATAAGTTTCCAAAGGGTCAATCAGGTCCGTTGTGCCGTCGAAAGAGTCAAGCGAGGGCATTTTGAACTTAGGAGGTAAGGGTTTGTCCCTGATGGAGGCAATGAACGGTGAGTTAGCCGTGGTAGATGGTTTATTCTGTATGTTCTGCATGACTCCTTGGAGCTGGAGCTTCATGGCTCAGAGTTTTGCGTCCCAGAGAGGAACGTTGTCACTACTGGAATGCAGCGAAGGCTGGACACTACTAGCCTCTCCCTCGGCAGTGGGTGCCTGGACCAATGGATATGGGGCCCGGGGTGATGGGTTCATATCTGGGGGAGGGGGTTGCAAGCCTTCCAAGTTGGGTGGGTAGGGCTGTTGGATAGGATGGCTCGGGGCTCGTTCTTGGTTGGGTGGGATATCTTGAGGTGGAGGATGAGGGACGGGAAGGTCTCTTTGAAGCAAAGCATTGATCAGGGTTTGGTTCTGCTCTGCTAAGCGGTTGATGTTGTTGGTATGTTCTGCGAAGTACTACGGCGGGTTGTTTGGATTGGGAGGGTCGGCTTGGTGGTCAGCAACATTGTGGTGAGAAGCCATGGATCTAGTTGTGACCATCCACCTTGGTGGGTGGTAGGGAGGGGTTATTGGAAAGAGGTCTCCAGCGACAATGAGCACAACTGGCGCACGGAGCAAAAGGATTCCCACAGACGGCGCCAACTGATGATACAACGTGTTCCAGATGAAACGGGTCGGATTGATCCAGGCTTCCCAAACCGGTGCCCAAGGTACTAAGCCCACAGAGAGACCTACACAAGAGTTCAACGGGGAACGGGGAGTCCCCCAGCGAACCCTCCGACGAGCAAGTTAGAAAAAGAGATGGAATGTAGAGATAAATTAGTGATAGAAAAGCTTAACCCTTTCTTTGTCTTCGATGTCTGCTTATATCCTCTGCTAATCATTTCGTTGTCCCTTCCGACCTATCACCTTGGCCGAAAGTCTATGCTCTAGCTTACCTTGTTCAAGGTAAGGGTTATCGCAATAAATGCTGCAGGAAAGCTCATTAATGGCTGATGTGTGGTGTAATAACTTTGCAGGATTTTTGTTGAGGCCGTTCTGTCCCGACGGGGAAGGGTTATCGCAATAAATGCTGCAGAAAAGCTCATTAATGGCTGATGTGTGGTGTAATAACTTTGCAGGATTTTTGTTTGCTGATGTGGGTAATTCTCTACTTGCCAAGTGTTTAGATGTTACTGATGTTTGGTGCAACGCTGGGTTTCACGAGTGTTGGGTTTTAGTATTTGAATCATGGATTGGATCTGAGGTGGTGGGCCATATCCTTTATGGGCTTACTCACGTCAATATATATTATTAAAAAAAATTAGAATGATATGATAGTTGTAATAATATAATCTCACTATATTTGTTTTAAAAAATATATGCATCGTATTTTTTAAAAGAAAAATGCTAATGAATTTTCTCAAACTAGTTTTTTTTTTATTTTTTTTTATTTTTAACTCAGTATCTGTATCTTGGACTAACTAATCCGGGATTCAATCCCACCATCTACACTTGTGAAGGTCCCAATTAAAATCAAAACAAAACCCGTATGGACAAATCCGGAAAATTTGTTTGCACTACGTTAATGTGAGTTTCCTACACTAAAAATTACATACAATTTAGTCCTTAAAAAATTTAGACTAATCACAGGCTATAAATATCTTGTAACTCAAAAACTAAACACTCAACTTATCATAATCTAAACATTTCCTTTAAAATGTGGGCTCCAAGCTTCCAATTTTTTCTAGGTGATTAATTTACAACTAAGTAGCGTAATTTATCTATCCTTATTCTTTATTGTTAGTAAAACATTTGTTTTTTGAGAACCAGTAAAACATTTTTTTAGTGATTTTTTTTTTTATTTTTTAAATGTAATTGATTAGAAGAAAGGACAGCCAAATTCGTGATCTTCTATACACAAGTGCATTTTATTAAGGATTAATTACCTAAAAGTCCTATCTACATATTTGATAGTAGTTTAGCTCCTGTCAAAAATTTTTTGAACCAGTAAGTCCCATTTACAGGTAAGAGCATCTCCAACCCATCCTTCATTTCTTCCTCCCAAATGAAGGAAGATGGATTGATCCTTCAAATATGAAGGAAGGATAAACAAAATGAAGGAGCCTCTAAAACACTATTCACTCTACATTTCTTATTATATTCAAAATAACTTTTAATATGTAAATTTAATTTTTATAAAATTGACATCAATAAAAAATATAAAATCATACCTTTAAAATGAGTATAATATTAAATATATTTTACAAAAATTTTAAAATTAAATATTTATTAATGAACAAAAATTACTTTTTGATTGGAGTTTGAATGAAGAAAATGAAGGTTTGTGGTTGGAGTTTGAATGAATAGTGACCTCCTCTATATTTACTTTTTGAATAAAAAATATTATTTTCATCCTCTTAAGAAGAGGATGTGGTTGGAGATGCTCTAAAAAGAAGTTTTGCCCTTTAACCCAAACAACTGTATATCTAATAAGATTGCCAAACATCCATTGTTGTCTTCATTCTCTCTCTCTTACTTTTACACCCACTCCCCAACAACAACCACCACCAAACATCCCCTTCTCTCTCATTTCTTTCTCTCTCTTTTTTTTTTTTTTTTTTTTTTGGTTTCAGACTATCTCTCTCTGATATAAAAAATGAAGCCAAAATACATTCGACGTGGTTAAATCATAATTTTGTACTCTCTCTCATATTCTCTCCCAAGGACCATTTCAATGGCTTCCAAAGAACAAAGCAGCCCGTAGGCTGAGAATGTTTGTAGGTAAAAACCGAGACATTCTCAGTTCCAAATCTGAGAATGTTCTCAATTTAAAATTGAGAATGATTTCAATTTTTCTGTGTTAAAACTGAGAATATTATCATTTTTTCAATTTTAAACTGATAATATTCTCAATTTTAAAACTATAAAAAATTGAAAAATTTCTCAGTTTACACATCTTGAAATCAAGAAGTAATGAAGACTTCTGTTTTTTCAGTTTTTGCATTTGCTTCTATATGTGGTCCATGGTGGAACAGTGCTTTTTAGTTGTGTATTATTCTACTAGTTAATAAACTCCTTTATGACATGCAGCATGTATTTAGTCCTTCTGTTTTAGCTGAGATGATTAGACCTGACGGCTCATCCGCAATCTGTATCAAGTGGTGAATCTCTATCTACTGAGTTGGCTCATGGAAGAAGTGGTCAGCGGCATCAGCGGAGAAGGCGTCGCCAGTGTTGGTGACAGTGATACCACGGCTGTGGCAAGCGGTGAGGTCGACGTGGTTGAGGTCAGTGCTAGAGCCGACGACGCACTAGATGAAGGGGAAACGATCGAAAGTGTCAGAGGTGAGAGGGGAGGGACCGAGGCAGAGGAGGAGTCGTACGGAGGAGACCAGAGACTGGGTCTGTGGGAAGGGAAGAGAGAGAGAGAGAGTCTGTTTGGTTATTGTTGTTGTTGTTGGGGAGTGGGTGTAAAAGTAAGAAAAAAAGAATGAAGACAACAATTGTTTGGCAGCGAGGAGGTCTTGAAAGGGTAAATTGATCTAATAAAAATTAATGAGACTTGAAGGAACAAATAATTTTATCTAGAATTTAATAGATTATAAGTTTACAAAATGAGACTTGTATGTAAATGTCCCTTTTATTAATATTATTTTCAAAGAAACTTTTAAATATAATGGTACACTAGATAAAGATTTCATTTTAAATTATTTTTCATAAGAAAACCTAAAATGTCATTTTTAACGTGGTCTACGTCATACTGCAAAAGCACCAAAATCGACCTAGATCCAAGAATTAATTTGTTGTATAAAATTATGGGCGTCCCCAATGCTACAACCCACCTCAATTTATACAATATTATCATTGAGGGAGTACTAAAGATGTGTGACAATCACCTAAGAAATGTGGAAAAAAATATAATTGAAACAAAGATCTTGAAATGCCCCTGTATAGCCAAATAAAGATAGAAGAAAAGTTACTTATCAAAGTCAAATGCATTTAAAAATAAAAATAAAAAATTGTAAATAACTAGAAAAACAAGATATAGGGAATAAATAAAAACCATAGTGATTATTAACAAAAATTTTGAATTAGCAAAGCAATATTCTTCCTAAATTCGCGTGTATACCGATGCCTTGCTAATTTTAGTCCTCAAAGGGCTTCTGATTCACTTCAAGTTCATGACACAACCAATACTTTTTCCTTTCCCTTTGATATCTTTAAATTGTAAAATTCAGTCTATTTGACAAAATTTCATAGCCAAAGTATTGGAAAACACAACAATAACTTGATATCTTGTCCCGCAGTGTGTGAAGTGATTCGTCATCTGTAGTATGATGCCAAAACATAGAGCATGAGTGCGGTTGAAGCAGTGACAAAAAGTTCCTGCACAAGCACAAACTCGTCAATGCGTAACAAGCACATGGAAGCAAGAAATTAACAATAGACGAGGCCCAATAAATTGAAATTAAGGCCCCGCTTGTTTTGAAGTAACATAACTAGCACTGAAAATATTTTCTTTGTAAAAGAATTTCATGTAATATAATTTGCATTTACATTATTTTGTTGGTGCATGGCTACATTGTTCCAAAAAAAAAAATCAGGAAGCCTTTTATAATTCAGAGAAGAGTGGTCAAGGAAGACGTTGATGAAGTTGGAAGTGGGGTCTATGTGGGAAATGTAGAAACAACTCATTCTAGATATATAAGCAGAAACGTGGTGGTGTATAGAAACTGAGCTCTCTAACAGTTTGGAAACGTAGAAACCAGATATACAGAAATTTAAAGCATGAATGTCACGCATGTACTTATACGCTGAAAGTATGTTTCTTCTATAAAACAGATTACTGTTAGTACCTGGTTATTATATAGAAAAAAAGCAGCCCGTAAACTACCAACAAACTCGATCAAATTCAGTACACCAGTGAATCCCTGCAATAAACAATCAAGAAAATTTGATGAAAATCAAAGATGATCTGATGTGGAAATGTTAACCATCTAAATTCACATTTTAAAACCAAACCAAACTAAGCTGTCTCCCCCCAAATTCCCATCAAGTGTGGTTGGCTACCTGAATAATTTTCATCATTGTGCTCTGTCAATGCTAGTAAAATTAAATAAATTCATATATTCTTTTTTCTACCATATCCATGTCAGTCAAGTCTTCCCCTTTCTCTAACATTACTATTTATGATGATCATATCACTCTTCCTTACCATTGCATCTATAGATCTTTGCTCAGCCTATTTTCTCACAACTTACCTTCAATTGGTGCTATTTTTGCTGGCTTTTAATGGTGACTCTCCATTAGCTTCTTCTAGGTGAGATTTCTAAAATGTGATTTACACACACACACACAGACCAAGGATGCTTATTCCGTTTCTATTTTCATTTTTCCCTTTTCTGCATTATGTTCTTTCTTCTAATTCCAGCAGTAGTGTGCACACAACACAACTATGGCCCTTGAAAGAAGGCTACTTTCCCCAAATCCTAGATCTTTAATAACAAATCTTACTCTAGTTTACCCCACCAATGCATCTCTAAAATCTTTATTTGACCTTAATTCTATATAATTTCAACAAAATTTTCCTTTAAAATATGTAACAAGTTTACCCTTGAACCGGAACCAATATAGCAATGCCCCTTTCTTTAAGCACTCAGTCCAAGTAATCTTTATTCCTTTAATTCTATAACATGTAAGACCTCATTTCAATCCCAATTGATCTTAGTTTCTCAATCTTAAACACAAGAAAATCAAGCTCACACCATTATTCAAAATTAGGCAGCCTTAATTCCTTTACTTATAGCTCCGTCATGCATCATATGTGAATAACTTTTGGAGTTGTACAGAATACTCCAATGGAAACACATACCAAAGATGAAAGAGCTATACAACCAAAAACCAGCGCTAGAGAACGAAGAAGCCTTTTTCCCATTCGTAATGCTCGCCCTTCATCTTCACCCTCCTCCTGCAGCCAATACCCACTTAAATAATCGGCAAATAAAAATGATAATAAGTAGCAGGTTCCAAGATAAAAAGTAAACATGCTTCTTTCAGCAGACACCATTAAAGATGGAAAATGACAATCCAAACTTCCAGATCTAAGCACAGCTCACCGTAAATGTTGGAGATGTAGGTGGTTCGAAGGCTTTCAACTTTTCAAAAATCCGATACACAAACACAAAGGCTAGGAACTGCAAAGGTTTCCATTCAGCATTTCGCTTGATAAAAACCCAAGCAGTCTGCAAAAAAGACCAAGAGAAAAGATGAGGATCAGTAACATAAAAATAGAAGGAAGGAGCAGTACCACGTCAATTAAAAATCTGAAGCAATATAAAGAAAATAAAAACTGAATCTTCTAGTGCATTACAGTAGTCATGCTGTGGCTTAAAATATTGGCTTGTTTGGCCAAGAAACACAGTCCACCACATATACCACACAATCTAAAGTGGGTTGAAACTCAAATCTCATCTTAATGTCTCTAACCGGACAATAATCAGTAAATTTGCACCAAATCCTTTTCTCAAGGTTTCAGGCAATCTAAGAAAATTTGTAAAATTTTGACATCTAAAAGGGATATTTTACACGATTTGGATCAATATTGCCCAAATGGATCGTAAGATAATTTGATCAGGATAGGGATTTTAACCTGCCATCTTTGACTGCCAAAATATTTTATTGCAATAATTTGAAGGATATGAATATAGTTACACTAGTTCGAAAGAACAGACCCATTTATAATAAATATCATGTATTTCAGATCTTTAAAAGGTTGAGCACTATAAAAATTACGAAATAGCCAGAAGCTACTTGATGATGACAACCAAAAAAAAAAAAACCATCCCAAGAGAAAGTTAAGCATATACAAAGTAATGAAGCAGATATGCAAGAATGCAATTCGGGACTAGCATATTAACATATGCAAAGAGCATGAATTAGGATTTTGATAATGAGACGTATATATGTATCATTGTAATTTCTGCCTAGGTCATTGGAGAGGAACTAGATCCGCAGATAAAAAAATAATAAAGCAATAATTTCACCACTTACAAATACAGCAGATATTGCCAGGTTGATACGCATATCTTGAACACTGGACTTGGTGAACCTGAAACCGCAGCACACAATGGATTAAAGAACTACATAATGTTGTAAAAGTACCCAATATATTAACAAATGGTTGTAGGGGATAAAAAGCTGGGAAGATTAGACTGGAATATCCTGACTATGTAATAATTATATATAGAAGTTCAAAGGCATGATTTCAAGAAAATATATATTAAATTTTCACAAAGCTATTCAATACTCTCCCTCACATGCAATCCTGTTTTGCACATGGAGAGACGAGAACCAAGATCTCCCCCAACCTAAGTTCCGACCTACGTTACACAGACTCGGGTGCAGGTATCAGGTACGGGTGTGCATCTAAGGGTCGGACACTTTAAAATTAAAAATTAAGAATACGTGGATATGGATCCAAATTAGGATATGGGTACGGAGATACGTTAAATAGTTATTTTTAAATATATTTATTATATGAAGACGAGTTTAAAAAGTTCAAGGAATAACAAATTTTATTAAAAAAAATAACAAATAAATAATAAATAAAAATTATAAACATTATTTTAGACATAAAATAAATTATATCATATATGATAAATAAATTATTTTAATTTTAGACATAAAAATTATTTAAAAATTATTTTATTTATGATATATTATATTATATAATATTTTTTTGAATAAATAATATTATATAATATGAATAATATTATATTAATATAGTTTATATTATATATAATTCAAATTATATTAAAAAGAAGAGTCAGAGACAGACTGATCAAAAAAGAAAGAGAGAGAGAGGGAGAGAGTGTGATGAAGAGACGATCGAGATTGAGATCAAAGGGGAAGACGAAGGAGCACAGTAGATCGACTTCGCAGATCGATCAACTTCACAGATCGATCGATGCTCTGCAACCAAGTCAGATTGAAGTCAAAGGTCAGGTTCTCTCCTCGCTCTCTCCTCTTTCGATTCTTCTGCCGTATCCGTTTATAAGGAGCCGTATCCTGGCTGTATCTCGCACCCCCGTGTCGTGTCGTGTCGACACGAGTACCTTCGAAATTCCAAAGAGTCCGTATAACATAGGTTCCAACACAATGTTAGGCTACCACTAGTCCCAAAAGCTTAAGTCGTTAGAAAATTAGCCCAACAAATATCAAGTTATTCAACAATCATCAATAACCATATGGATTCAGTATGTAGAAAATGAGGCAACGGATGTTGATTGGGCATGGTCAGGGGCAGGTTTGAAATACAAAAAAGACAAATCAACGCATAAGAGAAGAAGTCATCGAAATATATGCAGTAATACCACGGCCAATTTTCTCCTCCCCCACTCCATTTGATTAGAAACTTCTGTGACCTCTTTTATTCCATGTTTTTCAAAATTAGCCATTTAAATATTTTTTAGATATAAACGCTTCATTATGGTTCTCTTCTCCCCCTTATTCTTGAAAGAATTTCCCAGCATCAATGGCATGTTATACATGTGCCAAGATTGTCGACTCGTCCACTTTTGCTTCTTCTTCTTCTTCTTCTTTTCTTTTTTTTTTTCCCAAAAATAAACTAAAGGAAAAGACATCTCCACAAATTTGTTAGATATTTGCAGACATGTCCATCAGTGTCGAAGAGGCCAAGACTCATCTGTCATAGCCCATAGATATGGTTGCATTGCTGAAGTAGTTTTATTACTTCTGGAGTTCGGATACAGCCAACAGTGATAAATTGGTAAAAAATGAGAAACGGACAGATAAAAAGGGTTTGCAATGGCACTATTTTCAAATGCAAAGACAGACCTTGGCCCCCATGGTAATACTGGCTGCTTATCAGCATACTTAATATCCTTTGAAACCTGAATAACAAAATTATAAGCATGTAAGAATGTTATAAGAATTTAAGAAAAGGGAGAGATGAATGATAAAACAAAATTACAGAATTAAGCAACAGACATCAAGCATATTGGAAAAGCATTCAAGTATGCAAGCAGTGTATTGATTTGAGAATTTCCCCCAGGCAAAAGAGGTGATACAACTTAAGCACAAGTTTTCTGAACAAAGCTTCTCTAGGCCACACTGTTGGGTTATAAATTGAAATGAAACATGAGATGAAGTGCTCAAAGCTGACTGCAAGCATACTTATTAGACAACATAAAAGGGTAAATTACACTGACGTCCCCTAAGGCTTGGTGAAATTACATCTAGCCCCTCACTTTGGCATAATTACAATGACCTCCCCTCAAATAATGGTCAAGTTAACAGAACTAACGGACAATGTAAAATTATATTTTTAACCTTCTTTACCCTATTGAAATTACTGTTTTTACCTTGCTCTACCCAATCCTTAAACCTAGCCCAATTTTATGGGTCTCTCTCACTTATGCCTCTTTATTATTTTTTCCCCTCATTTTTCTCTTTTCTCATTCATCACCATCACATGGCAACAACACTTTACAGCCACAGAGCCACTACCACACAACACACAGCACCACCACCCCCATCCTCTTCCCCCCTCCACCACCACACACCACCACAGTCTCTCTTCCCCCACCACCACAACAAAAATCAAAACCAGAGCAAAATCCACACAAACCAGCAAAAAGAGAAGTCAATACCCACAAAAATCGGCAAAATCCACATAAAGCAAAACCAGAGTAAAAAACTAATCCACAAAAACCAACAAAATCTACACAGGCCTTCGTTCTCAGCATTAGTGCCTCAAGAAATATGGAACTTGAGGTTTTATCCCTCAAAAAAGGTGAGAAACTTGAAGCAAGCCAAACAAAGATCAGTAAAATATACCTTAAATGAACCAAATGTCACACCTTTCTTTCGGTTTGTCAACTGTGCCATCATGACTTTGTCATACGCCTTTTCTAACTGGAAACAATACATTTAAAAGGCACAAATCCCCAAAGTAATTACATATACTCATTTTCACCCCCCAAATTTTTTTTTTTATTACAAACAAGAGAATTTCACAAGAAAAGAACAATAATAGCCTAATAGCCTACTTGGGCGGCAGTCACTTCATCACCTCTCCTCTCTGCATCCTTGTGTTTTCTTGTATATGCTGCTTTGATCACATCAAATCCTTCAATGGGGCTTACGCCAAGCACCTAGAAGAATAAGTAACATGAAAAACAGAGAAATAGAAAAAGGAGACCCAACCACAAGTAACTAGGATAAAGGCTTCTTGAGTTGAGTTGAGTTTGAGAAAAAGAAAAAGGAGGGGGTTGGGAGGTGAAAAGTTCATATGACCAATCAAAAAGAAATAACGAATTGCTCATACTTCAGTCAATTGTCACTTCTAGAGAGCGAACAGGGTGCTAGCCGAAACTACCTGATATGGGTTAAAGTCACTGTCTGAACCTGAACTTCCTGCTGCCGATGAAGAAGCACAAATCACCCTTTTATCCTGTGGAGATGTTCTACGAAACCTGGCATATCCAATATCCTCGTGATGTAAATAATTGATGATGGAGTAAAATAGAAAAAACAGACTAAAGGGCTATCCTTCCAAAGTAATGACCTAAACAAAGCATAGCCTGAAACTTTCATTCTTTTTACCACATGTTTATGAATTATGATTCAAAATCCTGAAACAAAATTAATGTTTTAAACTCTGGAAAGATATATCTATGGGTCTATTCAGTCCAATAAAAATGGTCCTGAGTTTTTTTAATTTTATTTTACAAACCATAAAAAAAATTCTTCAATTCTCCAGCTGGTAATCAGAAACAAAATATCAAAAAAATAAAGGATAACGGAAAGGAACAAATAAAACAAAAGGCTTAAGAAACACTCAAAAAAGGCCTAAGCCTGAAGCAAACTATGGTTTCAGCACTCTGCTTTCAGCCTGTTCCTTTCGTTATTCTATGAAAACCAATCCTGAGCCTCTTTTTGCTTTCCCACATTGGAGTTTTCTTTTTCCTTCTTATCATTGCCAGAGCCTATTTAATTGCTTCTAAGGCTTGCCATGTAGCAGTCTAATGATCCAACTGGGTTTTACACTGATGCACCCAGGCCGCTCCAGCAATCACATTTGCATCCACATATATGCACCTATATGCCTTTGTATGTCTAGTAATGTATTAATATATGAAGCTAGGTACACACATATAGATATTGTTTGCATGTGTGTGTGTGTGTGTGTGTGTGTGTGTGTGAGAGAGAGAGAGAGAGAGAACAAATATATTCATGTGTTACATATTTGTTTCTTCATAAAACATGAAGTTTACATGACATGAACTTATGCACCAAAATCTTTTGAATTGTAAGTACACGAGTTCTATGTAACATATAGATGGTGTGGTATGGGGTACAGGGAAGGAGTGAAATTTTGGAGCTATAGATGGTGTAGTATCGGTAGGATGGAGGAAACATTTCCAATTGTGGCACAGCTTGCACTTAATAGGGAAGCTATGGTTAAAGATTAGCTAATTTTGAACGGTGACCATATCTTTTGCTGTGACATTGCTTTGAGGCGCGAACTGAATGACCGACAATTTTAGCATTAAATCTTTTTTATGATGTCATTAAACGTCATAGGAAGCTTCTTTAGTTGTGGAAACGGAAGTGGGATTCTAAGCTCCACCTAAAATGGCTTTCTTTGTCTGTGGGACACATGGTAAAATTCTTATGGTGTTGGACACATGATTCTTACCATAAAAAGACGGAGAGTCAGTGAATCACCCTCTCATTCATTGTGAATGGCGACAGAGTTGTGGTCCGCCTTTTTTCTTTGTTTGGTGTGTAGTGGGTGTTCCCTTGGTGGCGGAGTTGATTTCTTCCGGCATAACAGCTAGGGTAGAGCAGTGTTATCATAGCAACTCCAACCACTCTCTACTTTTCACTAGTTAAAGTACAAAAAAAGTACACTCTTTATTTTACCTAATTACTTTAGCTATTGTATTCTCCAACCACACTCTTTATTTTAGCTAATTATTAAAACTAACTTAATTAATTTTTAAAATAAAAAAATACTAATTGTTGATATTTTTCTAATATAAATTTGCAATAATAATAAATTTGCCCATACAAATATACAAAACCTGTAGAATGAAGAGAAAAAAAAATACAAAATACAAAATAAGTTATTCCATAATTCATCAAACATAATTGAAAGAACATATAAAAATTGCTACATGCCATTCAAAAAAAATATAAAATTGCTACATATATACACACACACACACATATATAATATATAAAATCTCAAATCCAAGACATAAATATACAAAAATCTAAAATATATACATATATAATTGTTTGGAGAGCCTCTGGGGCTCTTCAATTGCAGCCACCAAAAAAATAGGATAGTAAAATAGCTAGCCCAATAGCTAGCCCATTGGATCTCAAAATTAGACTTACATTAGCTAAAATGCCTAACAAGCCTTGTTTAACTATTCCCTTGGAGATGCTCTCAGAGGCGTGACTATGTGCTCACCTAAGCGCTAAGTGAGGCGAGGCGACGATGAAGCTTTTCATACTCATTGAGGCGAGGTGAAATGGTGAGACGAAGTCGAAGCGCATGAAGCGAGGCTTAGGCGACAAAGCGAGAGGCGATTCGAAGCGACGCATCACCAATTTTGGTCTGATTTCAGTTCGAAAGATCTGGGCCCTTCATTTGGATGACTTTTGTGCTATTTGTGGACATGTGATGCACTTTATAATTGCTTTCTACTAAATATGAAGTCGAAACCCTAAGTCGACTTCCTCTCAGTCGGCATTTGCTTCGAACGACCTGACTGACTACCTGCAGCTGCTTCTTCCTTCTTCGGACATCGTTTCAGTCAATTATCAAAGATGAGTACCTTCCTTTCTTCTTCTTCTTCTTCCTTTCTTCTCCTGCTGCTGCGTCTTCGTCTTCGTCTTCTTTTCTTCTTCTTCCTTCCGTCTCTTCTTCCTTTCTTCATCTTTTTTTTTTCGACTCTGATTTGAAAAATTATACTCAGTTTCTGTAGGCAGACCTTTTTTTTCTTTTAATTTTTTTTTTACTCTGTTGCTTTGAAAAATTATACTCTGTTGCTTTGAAAAATTATACTCTCTTCTTCCTTCCTTTCTCTCTCTCTCTCTCTCTCTCTCTCTCTCTCTCTCTCCTGGTTCTGTTAATTATTTTGTTAACTCTACTCTGTTAATTTTTTTCTCTCCTTGTCTTCTTTCTTTTTTTTAATTGTTTTTTTGTGTTATTTTACAATTATTTTTCTGTGTTAATTATATAATTATTTTGCTAAAAAAATTTCAATTAATTTTGCTGAAAAATTTCAATTATTTACTGAAAAAATTTCAATTATTTTGCTGAAAATTTTCAATTATTTAATGAAAAAATTTCAATTAATTTTGCTGAAAAATTTCAATTATTTACTGAAAAAATTTCAATTATTTTGTTGCTAAAAATATGTTGTTCTTTAATTTTTTTATGCCGAAACTGTTTATTTGTTTGCATTTAAATTGTTTCTTCATTTCGTAACATTGAATTGCTTGGTTGGTTAGAATTAGATGTCGAAGTCGAGTGAAAGTAAAAAAGATCCGGCATGGCAATATGCACAGATGGTAAATCCCCAAAACCTTTCAGAGTTCATTTGCAACTTTTGTGACAAAGAAATGAATGGCGGTGTTTACCGAGTCAAGTAACATCTTGCTGGTGGTTATAAAAATGTTGTTGCTTGTAAAAAATGTCCATCTCATGTCAAAGATGAGATTAAAGACTATGTCTCAAAAAAGTCAATCAAAGGTCCAATTGAGGATGGTTCCTGATTTTGATGAGATGGATAATGATGAAGATGATGATGATGAAATTCTTGAGATAAATCAACATGGTAAAAGGCATGTTCCTACACAAGGTTCTACCCATCGACAACAAGGAAGTAGCTCCTCTAAATCTGTTGCTTCCAAACAACCAAAGCAAAAGGGACCCATGGATGTGTACTTCACCCCTGATCTGGAAGTTGCGGTGCAAAATCCTAGAGCCAAGGGGAAGCAAACAAGAATTGATGATAATGATCCTAGCAAGAAGGTGTTGAGAGATCGGGCTCTTGTTTGGTTTTCAAGGTGGATGTATGATACGGGTATACCTTTCAATGTTGTGAACTACAATAGTTTTGGGCCAATGGTTGAAGCTTTTGGGAGGAAGTAGCTCCTCTAAATATGTTGCTTCCAAACAACCAAAGCAAAAGGGACCCATGGATGTGTACTTCACCCCTGATCTGGAAGTAGCGGTGCAAAATCCTAGAGCCAAGGGGAAGCAAACAAGAATTGATGATAATGATCCTAGCAAGAAGGTGTTAAGAGATCGGGCTCTTGTTTGGTTTTCAAGGTGGATGTATGATACGGGTATACCTTTCAATGTTGTGAACTACAATAGTTTTGGGCCAATGGTTGAAGCTTTTGGGCAATATGGTCCTGGCATGAAACCACCAAGTTACCATGAGGTGCGGATTCCTTATTTGCAGAAAGAGGTAGACCACACTAATAAGACCATGAAGGATCATAAAAAAGAGTGGGTAACATATGGATGCTCTTTAATGGCCGATGGGTGGAAGGACAAAAGAAACAAGGCATTAATTAATTTTTTGGTTAATTGCCCAAGAGGATCAATGTTTATTGAATCCGTTGATGCTTCTAACTTATCCAAGGATGCAAATAAGATGTTTGAATTGCTTGACAACTTTGTGGAGTGTATTGGTGAAGCCAACGTGGTTCAAGTTGTTACAAATAGTGCCTCAACAAATGTGTTGGCAGGTTAGTAACTTAGTAGTATACATTTACTTAGTACTTACTTACAATATGAATATACAATTCTCATATAGGGATCTTTTTTTTTTTTTTTAAACTCGTAATAGGGAAGCTTTTGGAGGCAAAGCGGCCACATTTGCATTGGACACCATGTGCAGCTCATTGCTTGGACTTGATGTTGGAGGACATTTTCAAAATTCCCAACTTTAACAAGACATTTGAAAAGGCAATTGCGGTACATGGTTATATTGTGAACTGCTCTGGTTTGTTGAATATGATGAGGCAATTTACCCAGTGCAAGGATTTGATCAAGCCAGCAAAAACTCGATTTGCAACTGCTTTTCTAACTTTATCAAGGATTCATCAACAACAAACTAACTTGAAGAAGATGTTCACTTCAGAGGAATGGACCACAAGCAAATGGGCGAAGGAACCATAGGGTAAAAAGACAGTACAAGTCATATTAATGCCTTCTTTTTGGAACACTGTTCTTTATGCCCTCAAAATATCAAGTCCTCTTGTTCGTGTGTTGCGATTGGTTGATGGTGAGAGAAAGCCTCCCATGAGATATATTTATGAGGCAATGGATAGGGCTAAAGAAGCCATTACAAAATCATTTAATGGAAATGAAGAGAAGTACAAGGAGTTTTTTGAAATAATTGACAATAGATGGAATGTTCAATTGCATAGGCCTTTGCATGCAGCTGGGTATTATTTAAACCCAGAGTATTTTTACGCAAAATCAAATATTGAGAAAGATAAGGAAGTCATGTCAGGCCTGTATAAATGCATACAAAGGTTGGTCCCAAGTAATGAGACACAAGATAAAGTTTGCGTAGAGTTAACTACCTATAAGAAAGCTGAAGGTCTCTTTGGGATGGCTTTGGCCATTAGACAAAGAACTACAAGGGCACCAGGTGATCTATATTTTATACTTGAGTAATTTTAGTTAGTTTTTTATATTTTAAATATTTTTTCTAATTAATTAGTTATAATCAACAGCTGATTGGTGGAGTGCATATGGTTCTGAAACGCCACATTTGCAAACATTTGTCATCAAAATTCTTAGTCTAACTTGTAGTTCATCTGGATGTGAGCGGAATTGGAGTGTGTTTAAACATGTGAGTACGTATTTTTAAATGTAGTGAATATGAATACCTATAAATTTATTAATACCTAGATAAAAATTTGAATATTTTTATTTGGTTTGAATTTTTGCAGATTCATACCAAAAAGAGAAATAGGTCAGCTCAAAAACTTCTGAATGACTTGGTATTTGTAAAGTATAATAGAGCATTGAGACGTCGATACAATTCTCGTGACACAATTGATCCCATCGCTTTGACAGATATTGATGAAAATAACGAGTGGTTGGTTGGGAGGATGGAGGAGGAACTTGTCTTTGAGGATGATACTTTGACATGGGATGATGTTGCTAGAGCTGCTGGAGTTGAGGAAAGTAGTCAAAGAACTAGATCAACAAAGGCAATAGAAAGGGGTCGTTCAACTTCAAAATCAGCAGCTAGACCTAGATTACAACTTATTGATGAGGAAGAGTCAATTTCAGATGGGGGAGAGGAAGAAGATGCGGAGGGATATGATGAAGCCAATGATAATGAAGAAGAAGTTCATTTGCTTGATGTTGAAGATGATTTTTTGAACCTTTGGATTGTTGGATTGTATTTGTCTTGGTTGGATATTTTTTGTTGTTTATGGATATTTAGTATTTGGAATGATAAATGCATGATGGTTCTTGAAAATATTTATATTTTTGTCTATACTATTTATTTTAAAAAAAATATCGTTTTTGGTCGCCTCGATTCGATAAAGCCCTCGCCTCGCCTCGTCGCCTCGCGCTTAGGCGTTAAGAGAGCTTGTCGCCTCGGTTCGCTTTTCGCCTTAAAAAACACTGGGGTAGAGAAGTAGTACGAAGAGAGCTTGGCAATTGGTTCCAATGGTTGTGATCTAGTTGGTGTGGTGTGGGTGGGTTGAAAAAATTAGAAGAATTTTGTTAGCAAATAACTTACTTTTAGATTGAAGAGTCATTTGGTTTTCAGGGTTTGCTTCTTCATCCCTCATCCAAATTTTAAATTTTGTAGAAGCCTTTGAATAGGATTTTTATGCATAGTTTCTACATACTGGGTTGCTTCCCCTGGGTGCTCTATATGAACTCATACACCATAATCTTTGAATTTTAAGTACATGTGTTCAATGTTTGGTTGCTGAGAAAATATACACCATAAACTTTTTTAAGTTCTCTGAAAATAAAAATCTCAATTCAGCTAAGAGTAACTACTACATAACTCACATTATTTCCAAAGTGAGACTTCTAACAATAAAAGATTAAAATAACATTTTCTTCAAATCATTACAAAATTTCTTTTTTCTGGGTCTTCCGAGAAAATTACCTGACAACCGATGAGGAGAAGCTTGAAACAGAACCTTTGAGAGAGAAATTCTTCCGAGAAAACTGAGAGTTGGGACATTGAAGGACGTTAGAGATTGCCAAAGCCATTGTCTTGACTCCTCTGTGTGTGTGTGTGTGTGTGTGAGAGAGAGAGAGAGATACAGTGCAATGAATGGGGGGTTTTGGGAGTTCGATAATGGGTTTGGGATGAAACCCTGAAAATTGAGTGCGTAAAATCTATTAGTGAGTATAGTTACGTTTGGAACATCTAGAGCAAGGTGTTCGCGTGGCCTAATGGATAAGGCGCTCGCCTCCGGAGCGGGAGATTGTGGGTTCGAGTCCCACCGTGAACGTCTTATTGTATGCCTCTAGTTTTGTCTTGTTTATATTTCGTCATTTTTTTTTCTTTCCAAAATTGTCTTTTACTTTTTCTAAAATTGATAAATTGTTTATTTTTTTTAGTGTTTAGAATCCTTTTTTCCTTCTGATTTTGTCATTATTATTATTATTATTATTATTTAGAGAGGTAAGTGAATAAAAATGTCATGTCTTAAAATTTGGACAACTAAATGAAATGTTCTCGTCACCATAAGATTTAAATAAATTTCAATATTCAAAAAATACAAGAGATAAAAAATAAAAAAAATTAACAAACGCCAATCAAATCATCCATCATAAATTTATGACTATTCAATACCTCCAAAATTAAAGTAGAAAAAAATAGTCAAAACAACTTAAATAATATAAAGTTAGAAAGTAACTCACAATGCCAAACTGTCAAAATATTAAAGTCATAAATAAATAAACTAGTATCAACCCTAAACTCCAAAAAACAAAAGAAATCCAAAAGACATGTTCTATAACCATAGTTATTTCTCGTCAACACCTGTACGGGAAAGAAATACACCTTCTCGTATAATCATGTTGACCAAGTCTGCTCCTCCGTACGTCGTCACTTTATCACCTGAAAACGCAAACGTGAGCTAGCCGGCGGGTGTGTGCCGGAAACCTCTCTGATGCCTAAGTCAGCAAACTTGACAAATAGACAAAGCTCTGTGTATTCAGAAAGCAAAGTTGTGTGTTACCTCCTCCAAGGTGATGTTTGTGAGCTTTTATAGATTTCGCGTGGCATAATCCTAGTAGGACTTCTACTTCTCCAGGCAGAGTCCTCCTAGGATTCATACTCCTGAAAGATAATGCTTATCCTTCAACACCCCCCTCACTGCTTAAACCAAGTGAGATGGTTTTTACCATGGTCGAACTACCACATGACCGAAATAACAATGGCTATGCTTAGCCAGAGTAGGCTGAACTATCCTTAGTTCGGTTCTTCCTTTTACTCCTCCTTATCTCGGTTCTCTCCTGTTCAACCCATGGTGTGTTTAGACCGAGCTACCGAATAGCAAGGTTCTGACCGATCTATCCAGAATACGTCATGACCGGACTAACTCTTAGACCGGCCTAACTCCAAATTGCCCGGACCGAAGTAACTTAACATTTCTTCCGTGCCGGAGTAACTTTATCTCTCTTGGACCGGAGTAACTTTGCATTTCTTGGGCCGGAGTAACTTTATCTCTCTTGGGCCGGAGTAACTTTTCGGCCTTTTTACCCAGTCTTTCGTACGTTGGGCCATAAAGCCCATCTCACAGCTCGGCCCAATTTTCACCAAAATTACCCTCTCAATTGCCCCTTAATTCCATCTGCAAAGCATGATAGGGATTATCTGTTCATCAGCCGAGCTATAGTCCCCAAACCTTCCAGCCGAGCTACAACCGTTTAGCTTATCCTGCCGAGCTAAACTTAAACCGAGCCGCTCTTATTCGGTCACAATGTCTTTTCAATCACCAAAAAACTGAATCGCTTTCTATTCCGTATACACGTGGCACGTTCCCATTCGCAGATGGCAGCTGTCAACGTCGTCTTCGTATTTAGCAATTTTGAACAGTTCCCGCCCTTTCTCTCTCTTTCCACAAAACAAACATTCCGTCTTTGAATCATTTACCTATACCATTTACCTTCTTCTCTCTCCGTGCCTCTGTTTCTCCAACTTCTGAGTTCCCTGTGTTCTTCGTTGGTGCTGTTGTTCCCATCACCAGCTTCATCTTCTTCCTCAGGTAAGCTTCAAATCTGTTTTTGTTTTTCTTCTTTTCTGCTTTCGTTTAATCCATTGTAGTTTGTTTGGTGTTTGTTTTTGAAAAACATATTTTGCTCTACCCTGTACTTTTCTGGAAAGAACTTAACCATAGAACACTTGAATACATGCAATAACCTGCAGAACACTGGTTTTCGATTCAAAATCATCATTAAACCGAACTAGGACACTGTTCGAGCTAGGTGTAAGTCTTATCAAGACATGACCGAACTTAGAAAAAATGCACCGAGATAAAATGCACCGAGATAAGTTTGAACTCACTAAACTAGGAACCTCGGTCTTCAACCAAGCTAAGCCTTTGGGGCTAAGCCAACTTTCTTAGTTTCTGAACCAAACTCAGAAAGCTACCCCTAGAGGCTCAACCGAAGTAACAAAACTCATAGTTCAACCGATTTAGGCCTTTGGGGCTAAACCAACTTTCTTAGTTTTTTAGACCGAACTCAGAAAGTTGCCCCTAGACGATGAACCGATCTAACAAAATTGTTTCCAAAGCCAGTATGCTGAGATGCTTGCCAAGGTCTGGCTAATAAAAACCCTGCTCAAACCGAGCTACCAAGCATTTTGCTGACGAGATGCTTGCCAGGATTTGGCTTAATAAGAACCCTGCTCAAACCGAGCTACCAAGTATTTTGTCGAACCGAGATAGAACCTGTCCACAAAGCCGAAGTAGGGCTCTTTTACCTTGCTTTTAATTTGTAGCACGGTCCAATGATCTGTGCTTAACCCCTTTGTTTTCTACTTTGCAGACTTAGGTTGCCCAGGCACTCCTCCGTGCGCTCAACCGAGCTACTGAGCACAACTTTTGCACCGATCTAAATTATTCATAATTTATACCATAAATGGGGAAGTATAGGTATCTAGTAGACGCTCCGGGCGGCCTAGTCGAATTCAGAAAAGACTACAACATACCCGACGACGTCCACTTGTCGTTAGCCGAAAAAGATGTCATTCCATGGGACAATGAAGGCTTTGTCCCCTTCACCCTCTTATCCATTATTGAAATCGGACTACGGTTTCCAGTCCAACCTTTAATTTGCGAGTTTCCTAGGCAAACTAGACTATGCCCAACCCAACTATCCACCAATTCATACCGTATAATAATGGGAATAGCCTAACTGAACCACCAAGCCGGACTAAACCTTGGCCTTGCCAAAATCTTCCACCAATATTCCATTGGTTCAAAAGAAGATGGGTGGGTCTACTATTTAAGAATACGATGTCGCCAAAAGAAGATAATAAAACATACACCGGATAAAGACTTAAATGACGCCGACTTCTTTTGGGTGTCTGGGAACTTCGAGGATCTCCAAGCCCGGATTCCTGGCCGACGTATTAATTGGAAAAAAGGAGAGCCCGGTAAATGTACTTCGGTTTTCTTGCTTGCTTTTTTGTATTTCGGTTTTTTCATCTATCAGCCGAACTAACAGTTGTCTACTTTCGCAGATTCTGCCCACCTCCATTCTTTATACAGCTACCCAAACCTAGCAACTTTGCGCGCCGCACTACGGTATCCAGAATGTAGTTGGGCCAAGCTGCTCCAATTCGAGCCGACCTACAGATACAGTGGTCGCCGAAAAGCCAGAGTGACCAATTTTCTTCTTGAAGACGCACCAGAGCCGGATCCAACCTTACCACAAATCCGACTAATTCCACTAACTGCTGAAGAGGAGATGGCTAAAAAGAACAGAGTAAGGGCGCTTCTAACCGAAACCAACAGGGCCGAAGTACCACCATCAAGTCAAACCCAAGAAGCGGTGGTGGCCCTTCCCACTCAACAATCGTCCTCATCCCGCCGAACCAAGCGCGCCCGGACCACCGAAACTGAACAAAGCTTGGTTGATGAAAAGGAGACTGCTCTTCCACCGAGCCCGCCGCCGAGCCCCCAACCGGAGCCTACCAACCGAACTACCGCCAGTTGGGCACCAAAGCTTACCTTCAACGACCGAGATATCCAAGATTCTGATTCGGTTGTTGCTGACAAAGATCACTAGTTGGCCTTCAACCTGGCCAAGAGTGTGTGCCTCCCCAAAGATATGGAGCACCACCAAAAGCAACTGAACACCGAACTGAAGGCCATCCGGTCTTCAACTAAGTCCATGATCCTGGTAAGTAGCTCCGTCTGTTTTTCTTTCTAATTTTTTCAAATTATACTTCGGCTCTTTTTCAAATTTTACTTCGGCTCAAGGGAGGTCTTTGTTTTGTCAGGCCATTCAAAAAAACCACATCACTCATAGGAAAATGCTGGAGCTTAGGAAAATAACAAGGCAAGCCGCGGCAGAAGCTGAAGCAAAAACGACCGAGCTAGAGGAGGCCAGAAAGCAAATGGCCGAGCTCCGAGCTGAGAACGGCCGACTGGCCGGATTGGTTAGTTCGGCCGAGGCTAGACTGATCCCACTAACAGCTGAAGAGGAGATGGCAAAAAAGAACAGAGTCAGGGCACTTTTAACCGAGACAACCAGGCCCGAAGTAATGCCACCAAGCCAATCACAGCCTGCTGTTGTGGCCCTCCCTTCTCAACAGCCGTCCTCTTCCCGCCGAACCAAGTGCGCCCGAACTGTCGAAGCCGAACGAAGTTTGGTTGATGAAGAAGAACCTGCTCTTCAACCGAGCCCGCCACCAAGCCCTCAACCGGAGCCTTCCGACCGAACTACCACTAGTTGGGCACCAAAACTTACCTTCAACAACCGAGATATACAAGACTCTGACTCGGTTGTTGCTGATAAGGATCACCAGTTGGCCTTCAACCTGGCCAAGAGTGTGTGCCTCCCCAAAGATATGGAGCACCACCAAAAGCAACTGAACACCGAACTGAAGGCCATCCGGTCTTCAACTAAGTCCATGATCCTGGTAAGTAGCTCCGTCTGTTTTTCTTTCTAATTTTTTCAAATTTTACTTCGGCTCTTTTTTAAATTTTACTTCGGCTCAAGGGAGGTCTTTGTTTTGTCAGGCCATTCAAAAAAACGACATCACTCATAAGAAAGTGCTAGAGCTAAGGAAAACAACAAGGCAAGCCGTGGCGGAAACCGAAGTGAAGGCGGCCGAGCTAGAAGAAGCCAGAAAGCAAAT